CGCACACATTTCCTTTCGTTTCAAGATATAGAAAATAAGTGTTAATTTCATTCTAGTCCGTCACAACTTCCTTCTAGGCTCTGGGATGTAGAATAAATCCAATGCTTTTAACTAGTAATGGAGGCAGTCATAAGTAATTCACTCTGACCTAAAAATTGCTGTTGTGCTAAGACATTTAACAAATATCATCATCTAGGCACATCTTTTTGGAACAGCATATTTCACTTAGTTTTATCCATCCGACTTGATAATTTTAAGCGGGTATGTGTGTTCTTGATCTGTTGTGTTTATGTTATCCAAGTGTTTCAGTTAATGGAATATGATTAAAGGTGTCTTTATTGTGGAAATTCAGTGAATTACAATGCGCAGTGCAATGTGACTATTTGAAGGAAAAAATCGCACACCATGCACATAACAAGATATATGCAACAGATCATTCGTGACTTTAAAACAAATAAAGCAAATAAGCATACATGCCTATGTTAAGTCTATTCGATTTATCCCGAATTATTACCGGGTCACGGCGTAGTTTAGAGTCGACGCTTCATTTCATATTAGGGTATGAAATGTTGAATATTTTCTGTTTGAAACAAACCTTCGTAAAGTTATTACACATAAGTTTGATATCAACTGATTATAAATTTAAGCAGTGATGCCTCTTTTTTAAGATGGAATTTGGTACACTAGCCGTCGATTGGAATTGCTCCTCAGAAGGCCATAGAACACAATTAATTTTACTATTTAGTCTCTACATTTGTTTCTCAGTACTGAACTTTCCACTGTGTGACAATCAATACAAATCATATGTTAATCTAAAATACCTTCAAAGATAACTTTACGGTGAAGTTCTTGTCAAGGGTTGACCTGCATTTTTTGAGAGGCTGAATTGTAAACAAAATACCATGCAACGGAACACAGATTTCAGTTCCGGATCATCACTCTGATCTTATTACTCAATGTGCACTGTCCCAGGAAAAAGTTATCTAAAAATAGACTGGGACTACATTCGTGGGTAATGAACCGGATTTTATTAATTGTGTACTGATGCCAGAAGCGACGGTTTATAATTTTATTACCTTTGACAAAGGCGAACACGTAAAAAAACGTAATTACAAGCCGCAATTACCGAACTGGGCTTATAAGTACATATCATTAGGTTTAAGTTTGCTCCCATCTGTTTCAGACGAGGTTTTCACTTCATCAGCCGGTAACTTGAATGGATAATTGTCATCTATCCATTGTTACGAGTCTGTGCTCTTAAAATAAGTAACAGAAAAGAGTGAAGATAACAAGCTATGTAAAATTTAACAAAAAAATTCTTTCCTCTGAAAGCAAAGTGCCAAATAAATTTATGGTATTGCGAAATTTTTTAAAAAAATCCAAGATTTAAAGACACAAATCCTAGTAATAAAAAGTCCTGAATAAAATTCAGTTCAAGTCCCGAAGAGATCCAAAATTAAAGACAATGACGTGTCTGCAATGGTCTGTGATGTGTTGATGTGTCAGTAGTCTGTTATTGAATCAACAGTCTTTTGTTAAATTACAAAATATTATTCCAAGTTTGAATTTAGTGTAATTCCAGTGAATGTCTTCATCCAAGAATTTTATCAGATCACTTTTGTATTTCGATAAAAAAAATAATCGCTTGAATTCAATAATGGAAAGAAAATAAAATTCAGTCCAAGCTGGTCACAACACAATACAACTAAAGGTACTAGATGTAAAAGCACTACTGATAAAATCCCTACAGTCATAAGATAATATAGTTCTCTGCTTGAACCCTGGCCACAAATTAGCATTTTATAAAAACAACCTAATGGAAAATAATCTTCTAGAATGATCTAATGAGCTTAGTTTACTTACCATACAATAACCTGTACATTCACTTGGGAATCTCCTAAACTCTGACCCTGATCAACATATTTACTCCTTCATGTTTACCTGAATAATAATTATGTAAGTGAGTTCATACACATTGAGAATGATGAAGCTATTTTTAGTTGTTTACATAGATGAAATAAATATCAGGTCAAGCAAAATGAACTCAGTTTTGGACAAAGTCAAATCCAACAAACAATGCTACATTACAATAACATGTAATGAAATAAAAACAACTTAAAACTAACAGACCAACAGTCAAATTAAATATACATAACACAATGTCAAAAATTTCATCCAGCCGCTCTATTTTTTCGTGTTTTAAACAAAATGCGCTGCATATTCAACCCACCGTTAATAATTGCGTTCATAAATGTGTTTAACAGTCGACTTAAAAGCCATTCCCCCCAAAAAACTTCATGTCCCAATATGCATTTTACCAAGCATATAGTTATTACATGCATCACTGGTTATTTCTGTGGGAATTTTGAGTCAAGTTGTAGCATATTTCCTCATAATGCAAACTACTGGTTGTTTTTGAAGCGTGCAATTTTTGATATCGTATGATAACTAATCAGTATTGTTTGATAAGTTTACATGTTGGCTGGCACATCGGGAAATAATCCCTAAATCATATAAATTAATACAGATCTATAATCTGGTTTCAACTTACTTTATGATCTACCTCGAAATGTTCTTTTCAACACACAGTCATCATGGTTCAAATATAATATAATTAGATCATATATATATATATATATATATATATATATATATATATATATATATATATATATATATATATATATATATATATATATATATACACACACATGCCGTATATAATAAATGAAAGTGCAAGTGGTCGTTTAATTTGGTTGTATTTTCTTTTGTCAAGGAATTTGTTATTCCGGTGTCTTAGTCAACATTCGTGACCTTAGATTTAAATCTCAATCGACGGACAAATGTCCAAATGTTCTGTACATTTATTAGGACTTTCCGATACATGTATATAAATGGCGCTTTGACGAAAGTGTATGAATGATTGTGGGTCGAGAGAAAAAACGAGATATTTGCACCTGGTGAAATCGATAAAATATGGAGGTTGAGTCAACATTTGTCTTCCTATTGATCCAGCGACTTTCACTATAAGCGAAAAAAACTGGATTGATCAAGTCTGTTGTAAACAATGATCCGTGCTTTTAGCATTAAAAAAAAAATACATTGCTATGTAGGGTGGCCGAGTGGTCTAAAGCGCTGTCCTTTACGGATCACTGCCATCTCACCTCTGTCTGCGTGTGTTCGAGTCTAGGATTCGGCGAATGTGGCTATGTGAGAAAGCTTGCCAGTAGCTTCTCGTGGGTCGGTGGTTCTTTCCTGTGATTTCCCGGTTTCTTCCTCCACCATTAATACTGGCCGCCATGAATAGCCTATCGTGTGCTGAAAAATGGCGTTAAGCCCCAAAACAATAAGATTGCTATATAACGTGTTGGTCTTTTGTAGGTATGGGATTTTGCATGAAGAGAGAGAGAGAGAGAGAGAGAGAGAGAGAGAGAGAGAGAGAGAGAGAGAGAGAGAGAGAGAGAGAGAGAGAGAGAGAGAGAGAGAGAGAGAGAGAGAGAGAGAGGTGTAGATAATAGACTGGTGGGCCTAAGGTGGTAGTATGCTTGGGCCATCATCACGATGTATTATTACAGCCCCCCCCAGTCAGCAATGCAGAATTCTACATGTCTGCCTTACGAACCTTCAATCCATTCAACTATCTATCCATTTACTTAGTTACCTTCCTTGCTGTATTATCAGCCTACCTATGTACCTAACTCATTATCTACCAACCCTACTCCCTTTATTCCATTCTGCATTCTACTATGTAGGTATTGGGGGGAGGCATAAATGTTGGTTGTTTGTGCGTACACGCAGTTGGGTAGATGGGTAAAATGACGTCAATTAATTATGTCAACAATTTTTAGGCAATTTTTTTTAACCCTCTCCCCTCCCTCCCCATTAAGAACTGCAAAACTTTCAGTGACCCCCCCCCAATAAAATTATGTCAAAACAATTTACCCCCTTTTACAAACTAACAATATTATATACGGCTGGCTTTTATGCTAAAAAATAATTATGGAAATTTAAAGGTCTACAAATAAATTTTAATACATTTTTTTACTTGTTTTCAGATTTCAAATTGACTATAACACTTTGAATTCATGAAAAGGATATAGAATTCATATTCCTATTTTCCTATTATTTGATTTACTAAATTTATTGCAAAAAATAACATTGTTGACGTCAATTTATCTTAAACTCTCTGCCCCCCCCCCGTATTAACAATTGTCAAACTTCTTCAAACCCCCTAACCCCATTTTGTTGACATAATGGACTACCGCTAAGTAACTTGGTACAAACACATATTGTTAAAGTAAGGATTTATAACTCGCGTACAGATTCATGTAATAAATTCGTTTTTAAGATGATATGGTCGACTGGAGAGAAATGTTTATAATTTTATCTGACCTTGTGAAGTGCTATTTGATACATCTGGCATATTACTTTCAGACAAACCAAGATTGATTCTGCTGAAGTAATCTTACCGGTGCTTGCAATTAATCTTGATCAGCTCTCTCGAAATACACATTAGCAATAGTTGTCAAAACTAAAAGGACATCTTCAAGCGGGGTCATAACTCCGTAATACAATGTTTTAATATATGGCATGTTCACGGATAGGGTGGGGTGGGGTGAGAAAAAAATGGATTTTGAAATATAGCATTTTGTGCACGGGACGTTCATTGTAATAAATTTTATGTTAGGAATGACATTAACAACGTTCATAAATGTCAAGGGAGTAATTTGATCAAATCGATAGGTGTGTGCGTGTGTGTGTGTGATTTAGATTCTTAACGTAGTAGATTTGACAATTTTTCATTTATATCGTTACGATGTCTACAGTGTGACGGTTTATAGCAATGTCTAGCACTGGGGCATCATGCCGCAGACATGATGTAACATGGTGTTCCACCCAGTCACATTATCCTGTCACCAAGCCAACCAGTCCTAACACTAACTTCTTAATGCTGAGCGCCAAGCGAGGCAGCTGTTAGTGCCATTTTGTAGTCTTTGGTATGACTTGACCGGGATTCGAACCCACGACCTCATACATCCGAGGCGGACGCTCTAACCGCTAGGCCACCGGAGTGGGTCAAATCGATAAGTCAGAGATATAGGTCTCTAGAGGGGTCAACAGCACATGACCTCTTTCCGGTGTCAGCCAGATCTTCAATTTGTTGGAGTCTCCATTTTAGTCCGATTTCCTAGAGTCATTCATATTCTCAAATAGATTCGACAGAAGAGTGTTTGCATCATAGACCTAAGCAAACACCCGATTTGGATCATTTTGACGGGTCCCCATGGATTCACGCTATGGACCTTCTGTGAGCTCAGCATTTGAAAATAAACTTTTAAACACGTTTTTTTATGACATTTAACTTAAAATTTTCTTCTATCGCTTTAAAATTACTTTCTCTCTATAAATATATTTTTTAAAAAGTACTAACGCTGATTGAGCCAAATCGGTCCAATCGTCCTAAGGCCTGCCCTGCGTGTTTGCTGTGAAAATGTAATCTAGTGAAATCTTAAGATTTTTTTTTGTAGTGTCAGGTAGAAGTAGCACTAAGATTTATCAAGCTTGTCAAAAAATCTAGTTGCTTTCTTGTCATTTACTAGAAAAGGGAGCCAGTTCAATGCACTACTATTTGAATAAGAAAGGTTAATGGATGTTGACGTACTATTAATAAAATAACTGCAATCCTTATAAACAGGAGATAATTTTGCAGCGCATCTTTTAAAACGGACACTACTGGTTTCACTGTTTACAAGATATAAGATGGATAACATCACATAAAACGCGTTTGAATAATTACGGCAATAATATCTCGCAGCACGTGCTGCATATAGGTCCTCATACTTTTTTCTTTGTGATCTGAGGCTAGCACGCATGTATCGTTATTTACATTCACCAAGTCGAGACAAGAATACACCATACGTCGAGACAAGAATATACCATTGTTCGCTCCAAACAAGTAAATTAATTTATCTTCCTGGTTTAAGATAATTAACAAGATGTAGTTTACAAATGTTGTGGTGGGATGATGGTGGGATGGAAGTGGGATACCTTCCCCACTCTTTATAATTTTTGGTCATCGTTATCTAGGCGAATATCGACCACGGTGTTATTGCCCGGATCGAGCTATTAATAATCTAAACTATGAAATTAAGGGACAGAATAACAGAACTGAGCAGATATATAGAACAGAATAACACTAACGCCTTATGTAAACTACGACAATTTAATCAGTTACATAAACAAAAGATGACATGTGAAGGATTTCCTATATCTCAGAAATAGAGTTACAGATTATGCGAATTTCATTTAGTCATTCTGCTACTAATGAAACAAATTTCATCATATGATTGAGTGACAGATCGAACTCAGATTGCCTAGCATGACAGCATCACCTAGTACTTCCGGTCCTTCCCCATATCTCTGCCGGTGATCGGTCGGTGTTTCCGTGTCATTCCTTTTCTTCCTCTCTCTTTACTATTATCCTTTACTAGTCTTTACTACTGGCCTCTTTGGATCATAGATCTTTTAGTTACTGACTGCCCCCTCTTTCCCACTGCAGACAAGGTATGTGTAGCGCTATGAAAATTTATTAACGGGAGAACACAGTCTGCTTCCCTAAAAGTCAAGAACTTTGCCTTCCGCAGAAACTTATACTGCTTAATTAACCCTACGCTAGACGACAGATCGCTCCGCCTACCGAATCACGTGACATAAACTCCAACAAACATACAGTTTTTAGCAAAGAAATATTTCAGTTTACGTGATATGTTTATTTATTGTGATTCGTATTATTCTTAAAAAGTATAACAATACAAAGTTGCATTAATTATACTGCAGTAGACATTATTTATGTATGTAGTTCAAGTTCGTACATTAATAAACTTTGTAAATAACAACAAGCAATTATGAAACTGTTTAAGAATTTATTCATATGAAAGGAAATTTGCTCCTAAAGATGCTGATGTTTTAGCTTTTAATGTTATCCTTGTTAATTTTATCTGACCTATGTTTATGCTGACATGGAAGTACATAAATTAAAATGTAATAATAAAATCGTTAATAATTACTGTTTAGAAGATTACTGTTGTACATAATAATCTTAATATCTTCTTTGTTAGTAAGATGGAATTCTAATCAATGATGTCTGTAGCTGTAAACATGTAAATGCATGTTTAACATACGGAAGATAATTATTTGAAACCTTTATTTCGTATTTCTTTACTAATAAGTACATTTTTGCATCACCATCCCTCCATCAACCCAATAAGAATGTAAAGCGTCACTCAAGTGTATGAAAGATCAAGACGATAAATAATTTATTTGGGGACAAACCAACATGAAACTGTAAATTTTCAAACTTTAAAAAAATACAGCCTTGGGTTCAGTGCTTCCTATACAAGTATAAATAATATATATCAAAGTCCTAAAGTTAGGGAGTTCATACACACACACGCACGCACGCACGCACGCACACACACACGCACGCACACACACACACATACACACATACATACATACATACATACATACATACATACATACATACATACATACATACATACATACATACATACATACATGCATACATACATACATACATACACACACACATATATATATATATATATATATATATATATATATATATATATATATATATATATATATATATATATATATATATATATATATATATAATCAATTTCTTGAGGGAGGGGTTTGAAGCTATCAACGGGACATACTTTTATGCAATCAAACATGTTGTAATTTTCATCTTTATTCAGCTGATCGTAAACTCGATAAGTAGTTTTTCATCGAAGTCGGGAAAGGAAGACATCTAATTCCTCCATTTAGACGATTTGGATATTGACTATCAGAATTACAAGACTTATTTTCACTATTATCGATCGAGAAACCAACAAATCATTTCAAAATTGTAAATATATATCATGATCAGTTCTTTGTTGCTACGAGCAACTTGGAATCAGTACACAATTAATAAAATCCGGTTCAGTACCCATGAATGTAGTCCCAGTCTATTTTTAGATCACTTTTTCCTGTCTGACATTGTTGGTGATACTAGAGTTAGATTTTGGCATTCTTAATAAGGATTTAAAGGCAATTGTTTATTCTTTAAAATGTGAGCTTATAGTGTGGTTGTCTGTGTGTATTTCGGTGACAGTGCACATTGAGTAATAAGGTCATGGTGATGATTCGGAAGTGAAATCTGTGTTCCGTTGCCTGGTGTTTTGTTTACAATTCAGCCTCTCAAAAAAATGCAGGTCAACCCTTGACAAGAACTAAACCGTAAAGTCATCTTTGAAGGTGTTTTAGATTAACATATGATTTGTATTGATTGTCACACAGTGGAAAGTTCAGTACTGAGAAACAAATGTAGAGACTATATAGTAAAATTAATTGTGTTCTATGGCCACTTGTCGGAGGAAAATGGCTGAGTTAAGCAATGCCGTGAGGTGAGTCTAATTTATGCTCGCAGATTGGTTAATTGATCCAGGGTGATTGACCTATGGCAATAGGTTAATTCTACTAGGAAGGTATCTTGAAACCACATAAATTCCACCTGAGGAAACACCCCTCCGTTTAGTTTAGTGTATCAAGAATAATACTCCCCAATTCTTATCGGTCCCATAAAAGTCAGAAAATTCTTCCTATAATTCGTCTTTATTAAAGACTATTCTGGAAATTATCATCTTATGACATCTGTTTGAAATAGACCAAAACTTTGAAAATATTTTCTTTCGGTGCATTTAACTTTTTACACTTTACCAATATGACCTCACATTAACAGAGGCCCCCCCCCTCCGCCCTCTGTTATAGCTGGTAACAAACGGGTTCTAATCAAACCTCAATCGTGTCTCAAACAAAACACTAATTATTGCAAGTTGCCAAGCTAGGGCGATCCTGACAATACATCAAACATAAAGGGTACGTGTCAGTGCCCCATCCCCATGTAATACGAAATCTCTTCAAAAGTGTACACCGTTACAACAGTATAAATAACAGAAAAGTTCATAATAGTATTGCAACCAAATACTTGAAGCAAATATATAGAAGGATTTGCTATATCTCATATATAGCTACAGATTAAATCATGTCATTTTTGTTTATGTAATTGATTAAACTGTTGTATTTTACATAAGGAGTTAGTGTTATATATATATATATATATATATATATATATATATATATATATATATATATATATATATATATATATATATATATATATATATATATATATATATATATATATATATACGTGAGCTATATCTTTTAAAATCTGTCCTAAAATAGTTGTAGATTTCACAACTTCTGTTTATCGATGCAGTAATCTAGATATTAATCGCAGATTTCTGAGAAACAATCCATGCACATAAACTGTTTTCACCTTAAAATATATAATGAAAAGAAAATCTACTTTTTGTTTTAGTAGATATAAATAAATATTGCATTCATGAAATAGTGACTTTTTATGTTGTCACTGGTGTCTTCGTCGCTCTAGACATTACAATGTTTCCACTTCAATCGTGAAATAGATAATCCCTGTATATCTGACTAACAACACAGATTTTACTTAGTAGTTTTATATTGTTGCTTCTTTATCTAAAAAAAAACCAAATAAAACTAATACTGTACGTACCGTATTCCTAGTGATATATCAGTGTGTGTGTGTGTCCGTGTGCGCGCGCGCGCGTGTGTGTTTAAAACTGAGCTAATTTATACAATTTATAGTACAGGTTTGAGGTCCCTCACGATAATTGTGCATATCGCCCCACAGTGTCACTGGGACTTCGAAAGCACGTACTTTGTATTGTTTCAGGTTAATTATGGGTGGGCTGATCACAATTATACCATCCTGGCCATTTTATCGGTTTCCTAACATGCATAACTAAATATTTAAAAGAAGTGTACACGCAAATGTTACAGTATTATCAAGAATACCCTAAGTTCGTGCTCGATAGTGAATTTGGAATGGTTCCTTGATTTTATCATCGATACTGCATAAAATTACGTGGGTGTAATTCTAACAATCCATAAATGTAATCCTTTCCAGTAA